CTGCCCCCGAGAGCAAGGGCGCCACAATACCCACAGCATCGTTTTCTAAAGGTGTGGGGGCACCTGTGCTTATCTTCATTTGATTGAAAGGCAGACAGAGCAAGAGAGACAGAGATCTTCCAGCAGCTGGCTCAGTCCTTAAAAGCCCACAACAATCAGGTCTGGGCCAGGCCAAAGCCAGGAGCCAGGAACCCCATCCGGATCTCCCACCTGGGTGGTAGGGACCCCAGCACTTGAGCTGTCACGCGCTCCCTTCCAGGGTGCACACCGGCAGGATGCTGCGATCGGAAGTGGTGAGGCAACTTGAACCCAGGCTCTCCCGCGGGACACAGGTGTCCCCAGCAGCGTCCGAACTGCTTGCCCTCAAATTTCTTGCCCTTAAAAGTCTGAGGCCAGTTTTAATTTCTCCCTGTTCCCTCGGATTCCTGCTACGTGACTTCCCTTCCTACAGCCTCAGTCACTCTAGATCAGCTCAATCCCAACACTGCTGGTGCCTCCACTCACTCCGGAGAATTCTCTTCCCCTCTGCACCCACCCCAGGCCTCCTAGAGCCGCTCAGGAATCTGCTCTTTGGCCCTGAAGCAAATAAATCAACCGTCGTCTGGCTGAAGAGTCCCTCTCTGATCACGTTCTATAAAGTCATCTAAGGGCTCTCAGCAGCTAGTTCTGCTTCATCAATTCTAAGAAACAGTCGTTAGCTGGAGGATCCTCATGTAGTTTTTATAAAACATGAAAAGACAGCCATGAAATTCTATACTCCTCCCGAGACAAGCAGGAGAACAACACTTCTGTGAGTGGCCGATGTTATCTGCTCAGAACACCCTCCGACTGGGACCTGGCGCTGCCCACCGGCAGGAGACACTGCTCCGGCGTGTTGGGGTGGACACAGCTCCGGCCTTGGAAGCCAGGCCATGTAGCCCCTTTCTGTCTCTTGCATCCACAGATTCCAAAGTGCAAAGCAGAAGTTGGTATTCTCAGCCTCTTCTGGCTCAGGCCAGAGGTAGAACTGCAGGCAGCCGGTGGGTGGCGGCAGGCTCGCTGGTGGGGGTGGAGGCAGAGGCCCAAGGGTGCTGCTGGTCTGATGGCTCCCTGGCCTTTTGGGGCTCATTCAGGCTTCAGTATCACCAACTTGACTTCTGCGCCCCCCGACAGGTGAGCGCTGGCGGCCGGATCTGGCTTCCGAGCAGTCTGAGAGAAACGCGGTGAACGCGAGGCTCCGCTTCTTTGGGAAGAGATGAAGCTCTTTACCGCACCTGCCTGCCGTCACCGGCGTTACCGGGGCAGCACAGAACGCCTGCACAGGGAGGACCACCCGTCCCTCCAGCTGGGTCACCGAGCTCACTGCAGGGACCCGGGCTCTGATGCTGCAGAAAGCGGCCACTTCTGGGCAGGTCCACAGTGGAAGGGCATCCGCGGAGAGAGCTTCCTGTGTGTACCAAGGTCTGGGCCGTCCATGCCCATCCGCAGGCTGCTTCAACAGAGCCGCCTTTAGCCAGGGCCCCGGCCCCACCACGCGTCACCTGCCAAGACTTTAGAGCTCCTGGTCTTCCAGGTTTCCCCCACACAGGCACAGCTGCTCAGGGCTGCGTGAAACTGTTTCCTGAGAAAGTCTTCCAGAAGGTTCCACACACGGGCTGGCACTTCCCTTTCTGTGCTTTTAAAAATTCTGTTTATTGATTTTTTTTTCATTTAAAAGATGGGGAACAGAGACTAGGAGAGAAAGTGATTGAGAGAGAGAGTGAAACGGAATCTTCCATCCTATCTGCTGATTTCCAGGGCAGAGCCAGGCCAAAGCCAGGAGCCAGGAACTCCGTCTACATCTCCCACATGCACATGGGGGCAGGAACTCAACAGCCACTTTTGCCATCACCTGCTGCCTCCCAAGACGCACACGAGCAGGAACCCGAACCAAGCGCTGACACGGGATGCGAGCATCCCACACAGCAGCCTAACCACCAAGCCAACTCCCACCCCAGACTCTGCGATCTGACTCAGCCTGCACCACTGCAGTTGTCCAATTTTAAGTAACAGTGGAACCCAGGGCTGTAAGCAAAGCAGCTCCTTTCAATTTCAGTTCCAGGAAGGACTTTAGGGAAGGACTGGGATCCACTGGAAGTGCCACACATTGTGCAGATACTCCAGCTTCCCAAATCGGAGTTCTCTCTCAACCGTGCCCGAGTGACCCGACCCCTTCAGCAGCCCCAGGACACACAAAGGGCAGCGAGGTACCCCCACCTCCCCGACCCCGGGGGTTGTTATCTGCGTGGACTGCACCTCTGGATGGGACGTGGCTGGCTGGGCACAGTGATGGCCTGGGCATCGATCCAGCAGTCAGTGGGCAGTAAAGAGAACCCCCTCCGGGGCTGGCATTGTGGTGCAGTGTGCAGGGCTGCTGTCACACTGCCATCCTCTATGAAGGCTGCTTTGAGTCCCGGCTGCTTTGTGTCCCATCCAGCTCCCTGCTAATGTGTCTGGCAAGGCAGTGGATGATGGCCCGAGGGCTTGAGCCCTGCCACCCCACCTGGGAGACCTGGGTGCAGTCCCTGGCTCCTGGCTTTGGCTTGCCCAGGCATTGTAGCCATTTGGGAAATGAACCAGTGGATGGAAAACCTCTGTACATCTCTTTCTCTGTTACTTTTTCTTTCAAATACACACACATATTAAATTTTTTAAAAAAGATAAAACCTTGAAAAATAAAACTTGGTAGAACACTGTAATGCTTACAGACATAAGGAAAGCGAGAGAACAAACAATGACCTTTTACAATGAAGACTGGTTTACTACAACCGGGTTTGGTTGCGTCTTCACTAAGTCTGCAAAGAAAGCAACATCTGGATTAGCTCTCAAAGGCAGGCACCTGCTCTTGGTGATACTGGTGCTCTCTTCTTCGTATTTAGCACTTTTATTTTAACACAAAGGCGACATTATTCTCAGGGGGAAAGAGTATTTTCTTTCCAGACAAGTATGAAAGGAGTCCCAGGAAGGCCTCCTTAGGATACACACCAGGGCTGGCACGGGGGTGTCTCGGATGCCCTCACATGGCTTCCACGGTGTGTACCTAAGGTCTCTCCTGGAGCAATGATGTTCTAGTCTCTTCCTTAGGCTGCCTCCTTGGGGTGGGCGTTGTGTTCTGCAGCCCGGGACACCTACATGACCTAAGGGAGTGCCAGAACAAGCCTCGGCTACTCCAAGGCACATCCAGCTTCCTGCTAACGCATCCTGGGGCAGCAGATGACGGCCCCAGTGCTCGGGTCCCCACAACCCAGGCAGGAGCCCCAGACAGAGTTCAGGGCTCCTAGATGCAATGTGCCTCAGCCCTAGATGTTGTGTGCATTTGCGGAATGAACCACTGGATGCAAGATCGCTCTGCCTTTCAAGCAGATGAAAAAAAAAAAATCCCAGTCTTTCTGTGCCTTCCAGGGAAGCTGTCTGGAGGGTGAGAATTGCGTCAGAAGGCGACCCTGGGGGCCCCAGCTCTGTCACAGCTGCGGTACCTCTCAGAGTCCCGGTTTCAGTTTTGTACAACAGAGATAAAGGCAGCAGGGAGCCCATCTCCACTGCAAACCACATCCCAGGTCTTGACCACGATGATCTCAATGACCACAACGGTGTAGCTGTCACCCACTTCATGCAGGTGAAGAAAGTCACTCCTGGCAGCACTGCTGTCACGTGGGAGCCAGAACAGGAACACAGGCCCTCGGACGTCAGGGGCGGGCTGTGAGCCACCGTGGACAGGGAGAACTAACAGCTGAGAACAGTGACTACAACGTAAGCTCAGTCACAGTTTACTCTCAATATTAAGGCAGCATTAGTAAGTACAATGTATTTTTTAAAATATTAGGACCCATTAAGCCTTCTGCATAAAAGATCCCATGTTATTCATCAACAGTTAGGAAAGCTTTGAGGGCATACATGTTTGTAGTCTGAGATTCCAGCCCGGTGATTCCAGCCACACAACCAACCGTGGATGACAGTACGCCTGCGCCCAGGCCCTGGGGACTGGTCTCAGCAGAAACACGGCACCTGCAGACCGCTGTGCCCCGGGCCTCCTGCAGGACACACGTTCCTCGTCACCCACACCAGAACACGAAGTGTTGTACCGTGGTTTTGTGTCAGCAACTAGTATTTACCGAGCGACAACCTCTCTCCCGAGTTGTGCTTAGGGCAAGCTGTGAATGAAGGCTGCCTTGCCCTTCCTCCAAAGTCAGAATGAGGCTGGACCCACAGACCTGCGAGGGCGGCCTCGTGAACCCCCACCCCAGTCCCCCCGCTCACTCCCATGCTCACCCCCAAACCAAGTCAGAAGAACACCTGCCACATCTCCATGCCGTCAGGGATTTGGCTTTGGCTAACTGAAGACTGCATTACTCACTTCTAATTAGGTCTGTTTTTAACTCTCTTTGGGCAGTATCATCAATAAAAAAGGATTTCCTCCTAATAATATTAGGTTTATGATACCACCTTTGAGAAAACTGCATTCTTATAGAATCTACAGAACTAGAACCAATTTCTCTAAACAATAGCATCATAAACCCAAAGATTAATTTGAAGCAGTTTTATCAACGTCTCTGTTTTAAAATGAGAAAAGCTGGGTGCAACCATGCTTTGTGTCTTGCTCATGACCACAAAACACAGAGCCAGGGCTCTGTCTCCTGGCTCAGCCACATGTCCAGGCACACGCGCTTGCACCTGATGCAAGCCAACCAATATTTCTAGAAGAATCTTAACTAGACGTATTTGCACAAGGAGGGTGTGGCACGTGACTACAGCTACCATCTTGAATACGGTCATGTCTGCACATCATGAACTGGCCAGCTCCCAGCCACAGGAACGCTGGCGAGGGGGGATGAAGCCGTGCCAAGGCGAGTGCCCCTGTGTGCACCAGGGCTCCCCCAACCTAGGGGCTGTCCCTACCGCGGAGGCCCACGGGATCTCTCTGTCACACACGGCGGCCGGCAGAGGGCAGGTCTCGGCAAGAGGGAGTCGCGGGGGATAGTTACCTAGGCATGTAAAGGACTCTCTCGGCCACCACAAAGCCCACCCTGAAGAAGAGATTGCTGGCTGGAATGAACGGCAAGACCAGGAACAACAAGCCCACTAAGACTTCCTTGTGCTCCAGTCTCTGAAACACACAACAGTGAAGGACACATTAATGTTGTATTCCACGTCAGTCGGCGTTTCCCCCGCTCTTTCTTTCTCAAGTTCACAGCGAAGGCATGAGTACAGCAGAGCACTGCACACCGTCTCATGGCTGAGTGGGTTATAAAGAGCCCCGCTGGCACACGCTGCCGGCATGTCCAACACGCACAGTCGCCAGCGCGCACACACTCGCCACCCAGGAGCTCCCGGGCTGGCACAGGGCACTCAGCCATCACTGGGGTCTTTCTGGGCATGCCCTAACACTGCCCTGCTCCTTGGCCCCAGGCGCCTCGTTCCCAAGGAGCAAAGCAGCTGCAGAGACTCCAGCACAATTAGGCACCATGCAGAATGTAATGACGCATCCACTCTGAAACAGAACATATATATAAATATATAAATAACAGACTGCTCTTCCGGAGAGGAAGAGCCAAACACAAAAGAAATTGATGACTACGGGTAAACTGTGAGGCATCAGTGAGGGGGTTCATCAGAGCTGAGGAGTTTCTTAGCCCCTGTCAAACTAGGCCGGCAAGCGTTTATTTCGTTTTTTTAACTTAAATCATCAAAGGGGGCTGGCACTGTGGTATAGCCACCGCCTGCAGTGCCAGCATCCCATATGGACGCCAGTTCAAGTCCCAGCTGCTCCACTTCCCATCCAGCTCTCTGCTATGGCCTGAGAAAACAGTAGATGATAGCCCAAGTCCTTGGGCCCCTGCACCCACATTGAGACCTGGAGGAAGCTCCTGGCTTCAGATCGGCACTCTGGCTGTTGTGGCCAAATGGGGAGTGAACCAGCAGATGGAAGACCTCTCAATCTCTCTCTCTCCCTCTCCTCTCTCTGTGTAACTCTGACTTTCAAATAAATAAGTAAATCTTACAAAAAAAATCATCAGAGTAATTCACTAAATCGACAAAAAGTCTTTCTCTGATACTGTATACATTAATTTGTAATGCATTCTGTCCTCTAAAATGAGCAGAAAAACTGTTTATTGCTAACAATATTTTGTAATAGATATTGTAACAACTATTTGTATTTTTATTTCTATATATGAAATATATATCATACATACATAGTGCATAGAAACATTTGAAGACAGTTCTATTTAAAATAGGCCTCAGTGTATGGGAAAGTATTATTCCTAGTTTCTAAAATAAAATTTAATCTGAAAACCAAATAGAACATTCCACGTTACCATTTACGACATTTAAAATAGTCCATTACTTTTAATAACTGAGTAAGAATGAGTAAGATAATTTCACAAATATAAATAAAAGTCCCTAATAGAAGTTACAAACATTTTATGTATGCAAAGTAAAAATTTTAAGTACCCTGGCATATTTTTCACCTGGATTTTATTAAAGTTTCAGTTTCATAGTCCACAGCACAGAGAGTAAGTTTCAGAGTGACACCATATGATCTGAATAGTTTTCTTTGAATAATTAACGGTTCTTTAAGTAATGTTCCCCTTTTTCCCTAAGAAATCACAACCCTCATGATTAAAAGAAAAAAGAAGGAAAATACAGGTTATGTAACAAGCTTCCAACTCAGATGCATGGAATAGGATGCCACATTTCTATGAGTTACCAAAATAAAGCAAAAAAGGTTTTAAAAAAGGCCAATGCCTTTCATTAAAAAGCTGTAGATTGTCTCTGAATTGAGCTCATACTTTGAGTTTACCAAGTACCTTTCAGTTTGAGGACTTAAAGGACGTAATCTGAAGCAGAATGAACATTCTCACAAGAATCCTAGCACATGGAGGGTTAGCATTTCTTCCATGCATTGAAAACACCCCGACACAATGAGGGCCTGGTTGCGCGTTCTTCATGAACGCTGAGCCTACTGCTGAGTAAGTAGCACGCTGCTATTTTTTTTTTTTACAGGTGTGCTTTGATGTTTTAGAGAAAATCCATGACTGCTTTTGGCTCCCTCCAAAAGCTTAAATAGTTTTTCTTTAAAAAAAAAATTCACAGATCTTCCCAAAGGCATTTCTAGAAAGAACGTAACACAACCTGTTAATCCATCCTATGAATTAAAGCGTGCACATGCAAGGAGCCTCCAGCCAGGCTATTTCCCAAGTCCCTGATCATGTTCCCCGTAACGAGCCGCATCATGGCTGGCAGAGAACAGCTCCCACGGGATCTCCTGGAGGCGGGGCCTCACATCCCCACGTCACCCTTCCACTGGACAGCGCCACCTTCCTCGGTCTGGGAGGCCACTGACATCTTTTCCTCTGCAGAGCCCCCAGTGCCTGAGCAGCCACCACGCTGGCAGACGCACGCATCCCTGTGGCGAGGGTGCCAACCTGCCCGCCTCCTTCTTCCCCATCATGTACGTCCCACGGAGCTGCCACTGCTGGAGACCAGGAGATGGGCAAAGCGGCCGATTTTGCTTGCCAGACAGATGACGCGTGGATGGATGGAAAACACAGGCTGGGGGCACCTGCTCCTGCGCAGGTCTTCAGGTGTTTATTTCTTTCCCAACAACCAAGCCTATTGCCACTGCACATCGAACAGCGTGCTGACATTTCCTAGAATGACAAAGACTGGGAGGGAACCCAATTTTGTACCCCCTGGATCACAGATGTGACAAAATTGGCTAAATAATTTATAGATAAGTTATAATTTATAGATGAAACTAAATAATTTACAGCTCATTTCAGATGAAACTCAAACAACAGGGAAGAAAAGAGAAAACGTGATATTTCCCAAAGGACACACAAAGCATTCATTTCTCAGGAAAGAGGCAAATGCACGCTGACTTACTCCAAATGATGCTGGGGACAGGAGAGATTTGAGGGTTATAGGAGCTAATGAAACAGCCTCTGGTGGTAATGTACGCCTTTTGTCCTGTTAACTTTGCAACTTCAGAAAAATTATTCTATTTCTCTGAGCTTTGAGAGGGATGAAATGCCAGCGTAGTAAGACCATGATTCTGGAGGACAAAGGTGTGGCAGATTCATTTCATTTTTCTGTCCTGGCTTGGGGAGAAAATAAGAATCACCCCTTGGAGCCACAAGGGGGTCAAGCATTGCACAGCCCTGCACAGGGCGATGACACAGCCAGCCTGGGATGTTGTGGCTGCTCCCTCCCCTGCCTACCCCGGCTCATGCTTCATAGGAGGGGTCACGGATGAAGACGCGTTCACACTGAGATGCACACGTGAGTACCCAGGCCAATGCCATGGGGTGGGTTCACCAAGAGGCCTCGTCTCTGCCCAACTCCACAGGGACAGCATCTCCCGCAGGCTGCCCCCTCCCACTGGGGCAGAGACCAGGCTGTCACAAGGAAGCTTATCACACAGCTCTATCATGGCATTTTCTTCCACCTCGAACTTGGCTTCAGAGACACGCTCACCACATTTAGGGCATGAGCGAGTTCACAGCGCTCCCAGTTCTATTTCAGTCCTAAGGATTTATTTGGCAATGCTAGGATCTAGCTGCCTGCATGCAATTTATCAGTCCCCAGAAAAGCTGGTGACAGGCAATCTCCCCCCTTCAGCCCTGGGATTAAGGCATTTGCCACGCTGACAACTGGCACTGCTGAACACTTGCTAGGTGCTCTACATTTGGGTCTATACTTCCTCCACCAGCTTCCAATAGAGCAAATGCAAGGGTCAGGGTCCTTTAAAAAAACCGTGAACTTTGGAGTCACAAATCCCCCAGGATTAGGGACGCCACCAAGGCTGATGATGACCCAAACTCGATCTCACAGATGGGGAGTGCCTCTCATCCTCAACACTAATTTAGAGACAGCAGGTGATGGCCCAAAGACTTGGGGCCTTGCGACCAAACATGGGACACCCAGAGGGAGCTCTGGGCTCCTGGCTTTGGTCTGGTTCCACCCCAGCTGTTGCAGTCATCTGGGGTGTGACCCAGAGGATGGGAGATCTCTCTCAGTCTGCCTTTCAAATAAATAACATAATTAATTTATCAAGAAAAATAACTCAGAAACTAAGAATGCCTCTGTGGCCAATGGCATGCTAGATGCAGACAGAGCCTGGCTGCCCTGGACAATGGAACTGTCTGAGCTTTGCACGAGGCATCCCATCCCTCATCCCTCCCCAGCCACCATAAGCCCCAAGCAGCCCTCATGTGGAGCGACCCACACCGCCGTGGCTGCTTTCCCTTGAATTTTAACTGTCTTTCCACCTCCTCCTGCACCTGGCTGGGGCTGGGCTCGCTGGTAGACTACAAGGCTCCTGTCTGAGCAGGACCAGGTGCTGGGGACTGTTCCCCTCCTGTGCCTGCCCCGCCAGGCCATCTGGGAGGTGTTGCCATGGCACGTCAGCTCCACTAACCCTGCCCACTTCACTGAAACTCTGCTCATGTCCACAGTGACCACACCATGTGTTTCCTGCCAGGATTCTGGCTAATCTGGGACCAGAGTCAGAAGAAACAAACAGAAGCAGAAATGCAGACTCCAAGAGCAGGCCAGAATCCCAGTTCATGTGAGCTAATGGCTCCAGCACACCCAGACTAGCTAGCTCCTGTCTTTTCAATGTCAGAGCCATTGTCTGTCCGTTACGTTACAGCAACTTGGGTGAATCATCCTTTTTAAGACCACTGAGCTATGAACAACAGTAAATGTTGTATAAAAACAGTAAAGACAAATCTCAATCCAAGAGAGCTGTCCATTTTACATGCAAAAACAGAGGCAAGAGGGAGGCAGGGAGAGAAATCTCCCTCTGCTGGTTCATCCCCAAATGCCTGCAACAGTCAGAAGCCTGGAACTCAGTGTAGGTTCCCCACATGGATGCCGGGGGGCAGTCACTTGAGCCATCACCGCCTGCCTTCCAGGAAGTGCGTCAGCAGGAGCTGGAATCAGAAGCAGAGCCGGGACTCAAACCCAGACACGGTGGTAGGGCATGTGGGCCTCCCCGTGGCAAGGTAACCAAACCCTGGGACAGCTTTTCACCTGGCAAATGAGGCAGAAGCCAGGCTAACAGCTGTTGTGGCTATTTCAGTGTGAAAGGTGCACCACACT